GATGTTTACTATTATTATTATTTCTACTACAGCTACTACTATTGATACTACTCCTTTTCTTGTACTTGTTCTTTTTTGTAATTATTAATTAATTTGTTTAGGTGGAGGGGGGGGGGGTGTCTGTTTGTAAAATTGTCAATACAATTTATCAATATTACTATAATCATAATTACTGTATTACCGGTACTCTTATTATTGCTACCAAAAGACTTTAAAGAAAATCTAGCGCCACCACCATCGTCATCATCAGTACATTTATTTGCACAGTCTTAATCACCTTCCAATTTATTTTTTGTTGCTGTTGTTTTTTTATAGTTCTTCTATTTAAACTGTTTCAGTATGTTTGTTTGTGTGTTTTTTATGTCTTTGGTTTGTCTATTTATTTAGGGGCACTGGTTATTTGTAATACGGATTTAATATGTTGAAGAGATTTAAAAAAACAACAAAAACAACAACAACAACATTTCATGTATTTTATATTTATGTGTCTCGATTTTATTGACTTCGAACTTTTTTTTTAAAATTGGCGGAGGGTTTGGGGGAGGGGGGAAGGTAGTAGATCTATAAGTAATAATTAAGCGATACATAATTTAATCGCTTTAAGAACGAGGAAGAAAGTATCAATATACATGTAGTTATGTTTCATATAAAAATAAACGGAATTGTTTAAAAAATATTTTAGAGTACAATAATACATTTCAAATGCAACATTTTTTGTTTTGTTTGATTTAATTTGAATTTGGCCTTTTTGTTGCTGATGTTTGGTGTTTTGTTTTGTTTTGTTTGTGTTTTTGTAATGCCTTTTAAGTGAGATGAATTGATTTAGACTACTCATGAAATATTAACTTTGAAAATTAAAGGTTGAAGAAACGAAAATAATTACCAGTATGGAAGTTGGTGATTCTAACTAGTAGTTAACTATTTATTTGTTGACACTCTCTGTAGATGCATCCTTAAGAAAGCAATAAATTATGATCTTATTTCATTTCATGCGTTTGTAGTGTGCTTTTTATTTAAATCATAAAAGCCATTCACTCACCATCTCAATTATTACATCGTGCGTGTACATGTGTGTGTGTGTGTGTGTGTGTGTGTGTGTGTGT